GCAGTGTGTGGGGGAAAGAAATGAAATCACTGTGATTTGCATTACAGGAATCCTCCTTTCCTCAGGAAAGCTAGAATTGTTGGTCACTTTTGGCCCCTGTCAGATTTCACTCTTTCAAAAATGTCTACTTACTTTTTTTATGGCTTTGAATTGAATGGATTAGCTTTGCACCATGTGGCTGTAGCAACCTGTTGTGTAAGTCACAGAAGGAGCATCCCTGGGCAAGACCAGAGGTCTTTATAAGATGGGTGCCTCCAAAGTCCCACCTCCCCACATGGTGCCTCAGTGAACATCCTTATATGAATCAGTTCCTTCACAGATCTGCTTCACAGTTTCTCTGGGATACATGCCCAGAGTGGTATTTCTAGGTCATAGGGCATTCACACATAAGCTTGATTTGACCACATATGTCAGATTGCATATGCCAGACTGCTGTCATAAAGCCCCAAACCCTGCCAACCAATGGGCCCTGCCACTTCCTGATTGCCAGTCTGCTAGTGGTACTGTACTAACTTACTGCTTATTTAGTTTGCATTTCTGTAATTACTACTGAGTTTGAGTAGACCTTCAAAGCTTTGTTAGCACACTTAATACATGTAGAGTGCTTAGAACAGTACTAGGCAATTGGCCCAATTATTGGGCAAATTACGTTATTCTATACACACAAGCATCTTTTAAATGACAGGATGTTAAAAATGTTGTCTTAATATAAAATGTTTTATTCCAGCGATGATTTCCGATGTTCAATTACCTGTTTATTTTTTACTTTCTGATGGGACTCAGGGTTTGGTGGTTTATGACTGCTGTCATGTGGCTGGTGGGAGGATGGCCTGCTGCAGCCTGGCTCGGGGCAACCTGACATACTGGGTCCACTATATGCTCCTCTCCATTTCCACTGTCCTCACCTTGGCTTAAAGCCCTGCTCCCTCTCCCCTGCCCCCTTGGCGAGCCTTCTGCTCTCTCTACATTCACTCTGCACACCTCCTCGCTCCAGCATCATTCTCCACACTCCAGCTAGAAGGATCTTTTCAAAACCCCTCCTTCTAGTCCCTGGCTTTCCATTTCTCTCAGGACAAAATCCTGTCTGTGGCCTGCAGGTGCGGCCCTTGCCACCCAGTCAGCCCCTTCCCTGTACTGGCTCCGGCTCCAATCTTTCTGCCCTGGGGCCCCATGCTGCTCCTCAGGCCCTTGCCAGCTCTCCTCCCCCAACCAAGATCAATTCCTTCTTCATCTTCAGAGTTCCGCTCAAATGTCATATCCCTGATCCCTAGACTAGATCAACTCTCCAGCTATCATTTCATAGCTCTTCAGTCAGCCATAATCAAATAGTCAGTCCTACAATGCTCTATTTAAAGTCCTCTCCCTCAGGCTGCCCTGAGGGCGGCTGCTGCTGTTTTGCTCTGTCTTTCTTGCACCCAGCACAGGACTTTGAATAAGGTAGAAGCTGAAATCATGGAGCGATGTTGTTGACCAAGGACCCCTTTACCACAGAACATTTTTTTTTTTTTTTTTGAGACAGAGTTTCACTCTTGCTACCCAGGCTGGAGTGCAATGGCGCGATCTCGGCTCACCGCAACCTCCACCTCCTGGGTTCAGGCAATTCTTCTGCCTCAGCCTCCTGAGTAGCTGGGATTACAGGCATGCACCACCATGCCCAGCTAATTTTTTGTATTTTTAGTAGAGACGGGGTTTCACCATGTTGACCAGGATGGTCTCGATCTCCAGAACATTTTAAATCAAGGACAGCCAAAGTTCAACACAACTGCTGGAGAGCCAGTGTGAGACACTGCGTCCAGAGGAAGGTGGCCCTGGCTGCCGCCGACCCTGCCCACAGACTCATCTCACTAGAGCCAGCAAAGCAGCACGGGGCGCTTGTGACTCAGAGGAAGGGAGATGGGAGACGCCTTTGTGAGAGATAAAACCACTGTGTCTTGATACATGATAAAGTACAACCAAAAATATAAAACTCTTATTTTGGATGAAATGTGGACACTTTTAAGAGTGCCTCATTATTAAAACAAAATAAATCAAAACAGCAAAGAAAATAACTCTTTAAAAGAACAGACTCCACACCAGCTTAAAGCCTTTCTCACTTTGCCTCCATGTTTCCAGAAAACTATTGGGTCAAATCATAAGTCCTGTATTTAAAATATGCACAATTATATCAAGAATAAGGAAGACTTCGGCCAGACACAGTGGCTCACGCCTGTAATCTCAACACTCTGGGAGGCCGAGGTGGGTGGATCACCTGAGGTCGGAAGTTCAAGACCAGCCTGATCAACGTGGAGAAATCCCGTCTCTACTAAAAATACAAAATTAGCTGATTGTGGTGGTGTACGCCTGTAATCCCAGCTACTCGGAGGCTGAGGCAGGAGAACTGCTTGAACCTGGGAGGCGGAGGTTGTGGTGGGCCGAGATTGTGCCATTGCACTCTAGCCTGGGCAACAAGAGCGAAACTCCATATAAAGAAAAAGAAAAGGAAAAGAATAAGGAAGACTTTAGTGAATCTCTTTGTATAGCATATAACCATGCCCCAGTGTGTCACTGATGTGAAGGTTGATGTCTACACATCTTCCCTGGGGGATTGCATCAAATCCTATGGCTTTCACCACTACCTCTGCTGATCCTACTTCTATAACCCTCAGCATTTTCCAAGACATCTCAAATTTCCCCATATGCCAGAGACTGAACCCACCCAACTTGGCTTCCTCCTCATTTTATGAATGGCCTCCGTGCCCACCCTTGCCCACCCCCCGGCTAGAAACCTGAGGGCGTCGCTGACTCCTCTGCAGGAGGCCATACCCAGGAAGCCCCTACTCAACAAGACGGGCAGACTGCGGTGCTGCGGTGCACACAGCAGGGACAGGGCTGGTGCATCAAGCCTTTCAAGGCTTAGAACCCGGTGGCAAGCAGAAGTGTTGCCTTTTGAGTGTTAGTTGTTTGCGGGTGCCCATGTGACTGAGAGTATGAGAGGCAGCAAGCCACAGCCCAGTGTTCCTCCCATATTGGCAGGTACTAAAGATGCTGAACTCAGTAATCTTTGTGATAGGGATCATGAAAGACTTGTCCAGCCACTGTCAGGCATGTCTCATTTATATCCTTTCACTACTCATTGGGTGTTTCAGGAGCAACCTTGATGAGAGACTATGTTATATAACTTCCCTATCCTTGAACTTGGGTCAGCCTCTTGCATTTAGCCCAGTTCTTCCACTCTCTCATGCTTATAGATTTTAATAATAATAAAAATAGTGAACAGACTGAATTTTACCCTGACCCAGGCACTGTCCTAAGCCCTGTTTATGCCTCATCCTACTGTTCACAACACCAGGTGTACTGTGGATATGTTTAATGTTACCCTTCCAGACTTTTGGATCAAGTTCCAAGTCATCTTCCAAAAAGTAAGGATTTCCATGCCCTTGAACACACCTCCCCAGACACCTTTTCTCCAGCCTCACTGTCCCCCTGGAATTCCAACCCCTATATCCCACTCCCACACCTCTGCCTGACTAACACTGGCTCCTCACAGTTAGTTTAGGCCTCTCACCTGCTCTAGAAGGCCTCCTAAACTTAGCACCCTCATGCAGGCTGTGCTCAGCCGCACTGATCAGCTGCACTGCAAACCTGTTTCCGTGATAGAAGTAGGTTTCTGGAAAGGCTGGGCTGGATGTCACATTTCTTTATATCTCCTCAAGCCCTGGCATAGTAGGTGGTGAACAGCAAATGAGTGAAAAGACAGACTTGTGTGTGTGCACTGTCAACCAAAATCAGTGCTTCAGCTTACAACAGAACTCATTTGAAGCTTGACAATGAGCCCTCAGCAAACTGCTCTGTGTGCAGTGAGTACTCCTGGGAATTCCGCTGCTTCCCCAGCAACATCTATGCACCTACAAGTTTAAATATTCTCTACATAAATAACTGCCATGGAATCCTTTCCTTCTCTTCTCCAGTTTCCCAGCATTTTTAAAGCATCTATAATAGAAATGGATGATATCCGGTCTATTTAAAATAAAATAATGCTGTTTGGTTATTGCATTCCTACACTAAGATTCCAAGGAAACTAGTGTGTTTCCAGAGTCTAACCTTAATCAATGGTACTCTCTAGGAAATATTTCTTTTACTGAATTATCATTTTGCTTTCTTAAAAAAATGATGGCAAATAATACGAACTTCTTCTGAACAGTTTAAATTGCCACAATGACCATAGATATGTATATTCCAAAATATGCACTGGAATCAATTCAACAGTTTTAAAAGGCTAGACATGAACATTTCAGAAGTTTAAAAGTATACTTGCCTGTAAAAATTGCAGGAAAGAAACAGCATAGCATTGGAAAACTTCTTCAGTGTTGGTAATTCATCCTGTCGCAGGCTCAAGTTCCGCCTCCTGCCTGCGCTGGTGGGTCCCCTCTGCCTGCAGTGCGCATCCCCCACCTAGATCTGGGATGGCTGGTTCCTGTCCTGCCGGTCTCATCTTTGGGATCGCCTCTTCCCAGGCACCTTCCTACACCACCACTCTTTTTTCACTCATCAGCCCCTGAAAACATAATTATTACTTGTTCTGCATTTGTCACCAGCATCCCCATTGGGCTGTGGGTGGCAGGATGGCAAGTCTTCGTCTGTCCTGCTCACTGATGTAGCCCCAACACCCAGGACAGGGCGTGGAGCAGGCACGGAGGAGCTGGGGATGAAGGAATTCCCTCCAGCTCCCTGCACACATCTGTTCATTTCTCCTTTCGCTGCTCTCACAAAGTCAGTCCAGTCAGAAAACAACCATTTCTCTTTCTCAACTTCCCGCTTTGTCAGTAGGTGTCAGACTAGCAAGCAGAATGGTATGATCAGAACAAAATTTGAAATCTTTCTTCTAAGCAATTACCAATTTTATTCAGGTTAAATGCTATAGCTACCATTTGCATGCCATGTTATCCTAAGAGTGTGATTCCTGGCTATGATGATGTTTAAGGGAGCTTCCACTATACTAAGATTCAGTTTCTGTATTTCAGATTAATCCAAAAGAGGGGTGTAAAGTTGACGTGGTCTTCAGCACAGAGCGCTACAACCTGGAGGTAAGCAGCCACGTTGGTAAAGTATCCTATTGGGAACTGCTGTACATATGGCTTTGTAAAAAAGTTAGAATCTTAACATATAGTGACCTGGAGGTTTGGTTTTGTTTTTTCCTGATTTGTTTCCTGTTTGTTATCAAGAATTAATGAACAGAACTAGGCAAGAGCTCAGTATTTAACTATTTCATGATCTTACGCAAGATTGCATTTAAAACAATCCATATAAGCCATCACCTCCCTCTTCCTTGGGACCCCTGAGAGAATTTCACAGCTCCCTCTGGTATCCCTCCCAGCTCCTCAGAGTCCTCAGAATGACTCACTCTCAAATGCCAACTTACTCTTTTCCTGTCAGCTGCTGACATTTCTGGTTAGCAGGCCAGCATAGCGTGAGACCAACCCCATGAGCTAACGTACACAGAGGCGCTCTGTAAAACACCAGCACATGCTCCAGCCGTTATCAGCCTCACTAGAGTTTTGACCAAGCAGACCATGTTTTGCCAAGTTTCCTTTTCCCTGTTTTCAAGAAGAGAGTAAAGAGAAAACTCATATAGAAATTAGAGCCAGATGAACTTCCTTGTGCTGGGCCAAGCTGAAAGGCAGCAATCAGAGCATGGGCGGAGTGGAGACCGGCCCAAATGCTCTTTGTCTTGTGCTGAGAAGCAGCCTAGAGCAGGCAGCATCCAGGATCAAAGTGTTCCAGGGCGGCGGAGTTTCGAGAGTGAAGGCATTATTTCCTCAACCCCATGTTCCTGGAAGAATGCTCACCAGTATTCAGAAACAAGTTCCTACATGACAGCAGTATGCTCTGACTTTATTTATTAACTCACAAATTAAAATTTCCTTAAAGCATAAGAAAGATGCTTTTGATTGTTAGTGTTGCCAACTGAAAGACTAAAGCTAGAGGGAATACAATTACTAGATTATTTTCACGAACAATATGCTTCCTTGGATTTGATCCTGTAGATGCATTAAGAGCACAGCTAGCTAACTGAAATGATCCATTTCAGAGGGTAAAAGGCAGTTATTTTATCCTCATGCAACGGCTTCGATTCCATGGAGATGTTTTGAGGGGAAAAAGGAGCAGTACCTGGTTCTTTTTCTCTTCTCTGGAAATGGCTTAGACATCAAAGGGGGCATGTAATAGCCTCCTTCTGCCCTTTCATAAGCCTCTTCCTGAATGCTTCCTTCACCATTTTTCTATGTTACACAATAATTAACATCTTAAAGCAGTATGGAAGTTCCCTTTCACTCAAAACCAGCACTCACAGTAGAAGTTGCCCACTGGAAAGTGTTTCTCAGTTTTTTTGAGTTAGTTTTAGAAACAGGCTTGTTAAGCAGATCCTTTATTTATTTATTATTCTTTTTGAGACAGGGTCTTGCTCTGTCTCTCTGGCTGGAGTGAATTGGCACAATCATGGCTCACTGCAAACTTGACTTCCTGGGCTCAAGCACAGATAGAATTTTGATTACAATTTGTTTCCTCATGAACTTTTTTCTTTTTCTTTTTGATTGTTCTTTTCACTGGGACTTCACCCGGTTTAAACAACCACCAAAGTAAAAAGAAGATTATTGCCTCAGCTTCACAACCAGCCAACAAGAGTTGGATTTGGGTAGGGCCAAGAAGAGGCCCATGAACTTCCTCAAATTCTAGGCCTAGTGTTGATATGTGCATTTTTCAGGGAATAGATTCCCTGGCTTTGATTATCTGGTTAAGAAATCTAGGGAATTCCTTAAAAGGAGGAAGAACCACTATCCTAGAAATGAGTCATACGTATGATGTCTGGTTGAAGTTCCAGATATTTCTGGATTGTAAAGTGAGGGAGATCCCAGAATATCCAGAACATCTATATGTAAACATGAATGCAAATAAACATCACTCAAGTAGTTGAATGAATCCCATGTGGATGATCAGTGCCTCCATTTCTTCTGGATTAGATCTTGGCATAGAGAGATGAAGTTAGTGCACAGAGTCTGGGCTTTGGTGTTAAGACAGAAGTGAGGTCAAGCCCTGGCTTACTGCTTATCAGCTGTGAGACACAGAGTAGGTTCCTCCTTAAACCTCAGTATCTTAATCTTTCAAACTGGAATAAGAGGACCTAATTCATAAGGCAGCATGAAGATGATGTTGTTATTTTTGTAAATAGGAGCCAGCTTCAGCCAGGCGCAGTGGCTCATGTCTATAATCCTAGCACTTTAGGAGGCGGAGATAAGCGGATCAACTGAGGTCGGGAGTTCAAGACCAGCCTGACCAACAGGGAGAAACCCCCATCTCTACTAAACATATAAAATTAGCCAGGCATGGTGGTGCATGCCTGAACTCCCATGTACTCAGGAGGCTGAGGCAGGAGAATCGCTTGAACCCAGGAGGTGGACTTTGCAGTGAGCCGAGATCACGCCATTACACTCCAGCCTGGGCAACAAGAGCAAAACTCCGTCTCAAAAATAATTAGGAGCCAGCTTCATCTTTTAGTTCAAGTTAGTAACTTTGAGGTCCGACTAAGGATTATGTTGGTCCATATTAGAGAGGAAAGTGTCTACTACCCTAGAGATTTGAGCCAAGCTGTGTTCAATGGATGTCAATGATATTTCTTTGGAAATATGCCCAACATCATTGTATAAAGTCACAATCAGAAGAGTTTAAATGATAGCAAAGAGAGGACTATCGTATTCAGCTATGACAACAAAAACCACTTTCTATAAAGCAAAACCCACTACATCTATTAATGCCAGAGCCTGCCTGCCATGTACAATGAACTCAATCTTGTGTGTGCCTGTGTGCACTGGGGTGAGTGGGAGGTGATGAGAAAGTATCCTGTTTAATTCCAAAATCTTTACTTCAGGAAGGTGAGGGACATTTGGGGAAATGTTCTGCTCGAGTGCTTTTCAAGAATCAGAAACCCCGACCAGCTGTTAATGTAACTTGTACACGGCTCATTGAGAAAAAGAAAAGACAACAAGAGGATTACCTGCTTTACAAGCAAATGAAGCAACTGAAAAACCCCTTGGAGATAGTCAGCATACCTGGTATGAATCAGCATTTGGAATTTCTCTATTCAGGAATGTATGTAATAACTAAATCTTTTTAAAAAATGGTCACTTAAGTTTTTATCACTAAGGTGGTACTTTCATTCAACTAAAGAGTGTGGTATGCCTCATAATTTAAACAAAACTCAGAGGTATTATCTTTCTGTTCATCTCAAGTCCAATGCAGTAACTCCACCAACAGTTAAGTATCCCTTTAATCTCCTCATTTTCCATCCCAGAATGAGGCGCATGGCAAGAACTGAACCCCAGGTAAGAGGTAGAGGATTCTGAAATAGGATATGCATACAGGGGTGCTGTTTTCAGGGTTGAGTCTGGGAGCTGAGGTGACATCTCTAAGTCTGGCAGTGGCTTTTGTAACTTCATATGACAGCCTCCAGAGCCTCCACTCTGCTCATCACAGCCTTATGCCCCAGGGCCGGGTGAGACCTTTTCTGGGATACTGCAGGGGAGTCATGTTTATCTCATTTCAGGTCAGTGGTTAATGGGCAGTGGTGCTGTCTCTAACAAAGGAGCCCTGCCCTCTGAAGTGACTCAGCTGAAGTGAAAATGAGCTCATTTGTTCTTGGTACTCACCAGAATGTGTGGGCAGCAGTTGAGACTCAGCACATTTACTGGCAAATCCAATTTTCAAAACCACGAAAGTCATCTCTGGCCTTGCTCCTGGGTATTAAGCTTGATGTCTAACCACTACAGCACTCTTCATCCCACCCTCTCCCACAGTTTGCTCACTTGCCCAGATTCTGTGGCAAACCCATGTCAACACTGGAGGCTCTGTAGTCTCCATTCCTGAGTGTCTCTGCTCCCCATTGATTTACTGAGACTAGGTGTCCTTAAAAACCTGGAAGTGGAATACTGCTTCTTGCATTTCTAAAATTCTGAACCCTGAATGATTCTCATATAGTTCTCTGACAACTGGGATCAAGACCTGTGCCAAAGAATCAACAGGAGCAATTAAAATCTCATGTTGTAGCAGAATTGGTTTATATTTAGTATTGCTTGAAATAAATGAGCTAATGACCGATACTTATAAATCTATACTTATTTAGGGATTGTTCTCCATTAGTTGGGAAAATAGGGTTTATCTTTACTCCTTAAAACACAAATTTTAGAAATTGTATTGGATCTTTTCTTTGAATATTTGCCACAGGATCATGAGATTTTAGACACTCTTTAATACTGCAGGTTAACTGAATTATGTTTAGTTAATAAGTCCTGCATATCCATAGGGGCCATTCTACAATAATCTCACTTAATGTAACTACTGTGAAACTTCAAAAAAAATCTTTTTAATAGAGGGCACCTTTCATCAAAAAACTTGTGAGTTTTGCTGTCATATGAAATTCAGCAGAGACATTTAATGGTGCTATCTATAGCTTGTCTGTGTATGTAAAATTATCTACTTAAAACCAAAAAGGTTTGGTTTTAGATAACATAAATTTTATCCAGTTCAAACCTCAGCAGATTCCTACTCAGTATTTAATCGATACAAGGCATTGGGCTGTTGTAGTATAATGGATAAATGAGAAGATTTAATCCATTTTGGAATATCCTTGCTTCACATTGTTTTTTTCCCCTTGTCTGTTTTTTATGAGTGAAAATTTTACTTCTAATGAATTTGTAAACTTCCTATTGATGAAACCAAGTATACTACATACAAAGACTGAAGACCTGAGAATAACCAGCTGAAGTTGTGTCCACCCAAGTGGTTCTACAGCAGTGCTGCCAGCGCTTATCCTTTCAAATGTTCTCACTGTTCACAGTATTTAGTATAACTCATTTATCTTCTAGGGTGATGGGTTTTATCTCACAAATCTGAACTCACAGCAGCACCAAAAGGTAGAATACGTGATGATGAGTTGGATCAAGGAAGTTTTCAGTCAGTGAAGACAAGAATGATGGGAAACCTCTTAATAGTAAAATAAGCAATAAAGTTTATATCCAAGATGTTGAATTCAGAGTCTTGTATTACATAATGTGCTGAAGTTCTTATGGTTTAACTGCTCAAACCAATGAGGAACAACAAATTCATTCGTGAAATACTGATATTCTATTCAGGAAGTAGAAGTCTGAAACACGCTTTCTACAATAACATCTGTAAAAATAGTCACAGCTCCCTGTTGATTACTTATCATATGCTGACAGGAAAAATGACATTACCAGGTTAAAGAAATTACACAGAAAAGCCAGTGAAGAGTACTGAAAGTCCTCAGTTCCAAGTTTGAAGGCACTTGGATAGTAACAGGAAAGCATTATGGAACCAAAAAACTTAAGCCACCTAAGGGTGAATGATGACAATGAAAGGTAACAAATACCTTTTTGCTTGATTCTCAACAGGTATTTTGTTCTAAAAGATTTCTCGAAGTGCTGAGCCCTCAATGCTGCTCACTATTCATTTCTAACATCTTATTGTCCTCCACATGACAGCTGTGTTGAAGCTTTTCCATTTCTTCAAGGCCCACACCCTGGCCTCATACACTTTCAGGAGATAGTCTTGCCTCCTGCTTTACTGACATTGAGACATTTGATTCTGTCATTTCTTCCTACCTCACAAAGTCGCTACATCTTCCCCAATGCCACCTTTAATTCTAAGATCTCTTTTATTTATACCTTTGGCTTTAGTTTCTCTGGTTGTTTCATAATTTTGCCTCATCAGTATCCTTCCCACCTTTAAAATCTTCGTCAACCAGTTCCTTCTCTTGTCCTATAGAGATCATCAATCAGAGTTGTGCTGATCAATTTCTTCATAGACCCATCGCCCCCTTTTCCTTATTCTGTCTACTTTTCAAAAGTAGATTCTATACACACTGCTGCATCCTCAGCCTCTTCCTATTTGGCTTCTACTCTATGTACATAAAGGGACCACTGAGATCACCAAGAACCCCAACCAGATCTTACTTCTTATCCTGCCTCATTTATCTGTTGCACTTTTTTTTTTTTTTTTTTTTTAGACAGAGTCCCTCTATCACCTAGGCTGGAGTGCAGTGGTGCAATCTCAGCTCACTGTAACCTCCATCTTCGGGGTTCAAGCGATTCTCCTGCCTCAGCCTCCTGAGTAGCTGAGATTATAGGCCACTATGCCCAGCTAATGTTTGTATTTTTAATAGAAGATGGGCTTTCACCATGTTGGTCAGGATGGTCTTGAACCCCTAACCTCAGGTGATTCACCCACCTTGGCCTCCCAAAATGCTGGGATTATAGGCTTGAGCCACTGTGCCCAGCCTATCTGCAGCACTTTATGTCATCTACCTTCATGGCTTTCTTGACACTGTATTTAATTCACCTAATAACAAACTCAACTTGTTTTCACCCAAAACGTTCCCACATTCTGTCCTACATTTATATAACAGTATACTATTCTCCTGGATTTGGCTAGAAACTTCGGTCATTTTCACCTAATCTCCTAACATTTAATAACTTGCCATTTCCTATCAAGCCTGCATTCACAAAGTGTTTTGGACTCATCTTGTCTTCTCCAAACCCACTGTCACCATCCTCCACACCTGAACTACTTCTCCCTGAGACCACCGCACCCAGCAGTCAAAGTCATCTTCCCACACTTATTACTCAGCCACACTTCATACCCGCTCTGGCAGCTCTGCAAACAAGGCCTTTCAATATCTGGTGCCAGTATACTGTATACTGTATCAAGACCAGTCACTAAGGCCGCCCCTGCCCCGTGCCTTCCTACCTTCATGTGCTCACTCTCTCAGACCCCCACTCCTCCCCCACCTCCACCCCCACCCCCACACACATGACAGCAATTTAAGGTGCAGCAAAAATCTCATCTCTGTGAAGCTTCCCCCAACCCTCTTCAGCCCAAAGAAACCTGCCCTTTCCCTGCTGTCCTTCAGCTTTCTGATCCTCCCTTCTTAAGGGATCTATCAACTATAACCCTACCCTGCCAACATGCGAAGGGTGGGGACTCATCTTGGTATCCTGCACAGATCCCAAGAAATCAATGAATGCTGCTTGAATTATAATCGATATCCTATGTTCCCTTTTCCCTACCTCAATGAATTGAGCATTCTTTTGGATAAAATAATCCTTAGCATAAATTCTATTCTGTATCGGTAAAACTTGGCTGGTTTATACTCAAGAGTATAAACCAAGGCCTTTCAATATCTGGTGACAGTTTATACTCAGAGTATAAACCAGCCAAGTTTACCAATACAGAATAGAATTTATGCCAAGGATTATTTTACCCAAAAGGATTGGTTTCCTAATAAGCTTGTTAGTGTTCCTCATGTATTGCGCTATTATTCGGCCTTAATATAGTATCCCTGCAAAATTGCATAAAATGATGGTTCATGAACAGTCATCTCATTAAATCTGAGCTCCTAAAAGTCACAAACAGTAATTTATTAGTCATTGTATCCCTACCTCTCACAGTGTCTGATATTGTGTAAGTTTTAAGAAAGATGTTTGCCAAATTTAAAAGATTTTTAGATCCAAAAATAATGCCACAGAACAAATCTACCTGATTTCTTCATGTGTTAAACAAAAGTGAGAGAGATGCTGCCAATACACTGATTAGCTTTAAAGCCAATGATCAGAGAAGCACAAAGATATTTTGGCAGACTGGGAAGCAAAGACCACCATCACACTGACTGTAGACCTAAACCAGAAGGTAAGGTGGAGAATAACAGTGACAGACTTTTCAACCTAATTAAAAATGCTTCTTGGCCAACACAGTGGCCCTCACCTGTAATCTCAGCAGCACTTTGGGAGGCCATGGCAGGAGGATCGCTTGAGTCCAGGAATTCAAGGCTACTGTGAAGTATAATTGTGGCACTGCATTCTAGCCTGGGCAACAGAGCAAGACCCTGTCTCTTAAAAAAATGCTTCTTAACTAATAAGACTAGGTTAAACTGAATGTCAATTTTGAGTATTCAGTAATGAGTGTGGAAAGGTCACATTAGTTGCTGGGTGTGAGACAGCTGGAAGGAGGAGACTGAAATCTGAGAGATTTGGTAGCCGACAGTGGCCGTGGTCTCAGGGAGAAGCAGCCCAGGCATGAAGGGTGGTGGCAGTGAGTTTGGGGAAGACAGGATGGGTCCAAGATACTTTGTGGACATAGGCTTGATAGGACACAGGCTTCGTTGCTCTTATTTTGCATGTATACAGTACAGCAAATGGCTGTTAAATTGATTTAGAATAGATTTACTGTTTGGCAAGTTGAAGAATATAAATCCACAAAGTCACATAGAAACAGATACAAATAAATCACATCTGGCTCAAGGTCTTACTGTGAGAGGGATGACAGGTATGACTAAGTTTAAACCTTATTTCATATCTGAAGCTTCTGAGATTTTGTCTCAAAAATGCATTAATACAAATGTGCTTTTTCTGTCTCTCTCAGATAATCATGGACATATTGATCCCTCTCTGAGACCCATCTGGGATTTGGCTTTCCTTGGAAGCTCTTATGTGATGTGGGAAATGACAACCCAGTTTTCACGCTACTACTTGGCACAGCTCACTAGTGTGAGGCAGTGGGTAAGAAAAACTTGAAAATTAGCTTGTGCCACAAGAATCACTGCAGTCTCCTTAGACCGAATTCATGTGAACTTCTAATTGCATTTCAAGAGTTTTAATCGCATTTCATTTCTTTAACAAATATTTGAGTTCCTGCAATGGGCTAAGTATTGTTTCAGGGGCTGAGGATACACTGTGAATACAATGTTGCTGTCCTCATTATTTCTAGGGAAAGAAGATAAAAAGAGACAGTGAACTAATAAATAAATATGTATCACATGATGGTAAATGCTATAAAAAAATTAACTAGCCAAGGTGTGAGGATCATTTAAGGTCAGGAATTTTGAGACCAGCCTGGGCAGCATAGCAAGATCCCATCTCTACAAAAACATTAAAAATTAGCCAGATATAGTGGCACATGCCTGTAGTCCCTGCTACTCAGGACACTGAGGTGGGAGGATTTTTGCTTGATCCAGGAGTTGGAGGTTGCAATAAGCTATGATTGAGCTACTGTACTCCATCCTAGGCAACAGAGATGCCGTCTCTTAAAAAAGAAAAGAAAAACAAAAAAATGAGGTAGGGAAAAGGGAATGTAGGGTATTGATAGAATTACTACTTAGTCTGAAGTAAGGCTAATTTGAGCAAAGGTGACTTTGGAGTAGAGACCAAAGGGAAGTTAGAGTGAGCTGAGCCCCGCTCCCATAAGGAAAGAAAATGTCAGAGGGAACTGAGGCTGCAATGTTAAAGTCTTTGAGTAGGCAGGAAAGTATATGATCAATCCAGATGATCTTAGGAACACAGAGGGTTCACCTAGAGGGAAACAGTGGCGCAGATGCTGGTAAAAGGACAGACAGATATCAAGGTGGGAGTTTGTGGAAGTTGTATTCTAACTGCTTGGTCTTCTCAGTGAAATGGGACAAAGTCATCAGCTGAGAGCAGGAGAAATAGCAGTGAGGCTGCTGTGGCTAGAACTGAGTGACAAAGGGAGCACCGCTGGGAGACAGATCAAATCGAGTGGGGCAAGTGGAGAGCATCAGCTCATGTAAGACCTTGCAGGCCCTTCAAAGGGTCTTATCTTTCACTCACTTACCCATTAGAGGGTTTTTACCAGAGTGACATGATCTGACTTACAATAGGATCATTATGGCTGCTATGTTAAGAACAGACCAGTAAAGTATTGCAATATTGGGTGGGGCGCAATGGCTCACACCTGTAAACCCAGCTCTTTGGGAGGCCAAGGTGGGTAGATTACTTGAGGTTAGGAGTTCGAGACCAGCCTGGCCAACATGGTGAAACCCTGTCTCTACTCAAAATAGAAAAATTAACTGGACTTGGTGGCAGGTGCCTGTAATCCCACTACTCGGGAGGCTGAGGCAGGAGAATCGCTTGAGCCAGGGAGACAGAGGTTGCAGTCAGCTAAGATTGCACCATTGCATTCCAGCCTGGGCTACAGAGCAAGACTCTGTCTCAAAAAAAAAAAAAAAAAAAAGTATTGCAATATTCTAGGCAAGACCTAGTGGTAGCTTGGACCAGGGTGGTAGCAATGGAGCTGGAAAGACACTTGGATTCTGTGACAGTATTGGCTCATGGGTTGGATATGGATATCAGACATGAGAGGAGTTAAAGATGATTTTTAGAATTTTGGTGTGAATAACCGGAAGGATAGAGTTTTCATTTACTGATTTGGGAAGCTTATAGGAGGAACAGATTTGAGGGAAATTATCTTGATTTGGGGCATTCTAAATTCTATAACCAAATAGAGAATTTGTATAATCATCTGGACAGAAGAGTCTGAAGTTGGGGGAGAGGTCTTGGCTCTAGTTATCACCATATAGATAGTATTTGAAGTGACAAGACTGGATGAGGTCACAGGTAATAAGTGTAGAAAATGAAGTCAAGTTATGTAAGGACTGGATCATGGAACACTTCTGACTTTAGCAGTTGGAGATATGGGAAAACAAAGTATCTCAAGGATGAGGACTGGCTGCTAGTATTAACGCTGCTGGAAAGTCAGGTAAGATGAAGACTGAGAAGTGCCCGTTTGATTAAGCAACTGGAAGTCAATGGAGAGCTTATCAAGAGTCCTCTCACTGGCACAGTGGGACAAAAGCCTGATTGGGGTAGGTTCAGGAAAGGATGGGAAGAGAGGAAGTGGACACTCAGTCCTTTCAAGAAATTTACCTATAATAAACAATAGTAAAAAGGAGAAGAGGACTACAGCTGGACGATGGGTAGGCATCAGGCTGAAAGGGCTTTTTTTTTTTTTTTTTTTTTTTTTTGCTTATTTTTGGTTGGGAGAAGTAACAGCATATTTATATGTTGATGAGAAAAAGTCCAGTAAAGAAAGGCAAAGTAGGAATTGCAGGAAAGAGAGGGAAAAGTTGTTAGAGTTACTATCTTTGATAGGCAAGAGAGGATATAATCAATCCAGATGATATCAGGAACACGGAGAGTTCACCTAGAGGGAAAGCAGGAAACAGTGGCCCAGTACTAGGAGGGCAGATATCAAAGCAGGAGTTTGTGGAAGTTCTAACTGCTTCTGTCTTCTCAGTGAAAGAGGAGGCAAAGCCATCAGCTGAGAGCAGGATGAGAGTTGAAGGTATTGGGAGTATCAGAGAGGCAAGCTGAGCCAATCATAAGCACCAATTTAAAAGATTTGTTTTGTTCATAGATTCACCCATGGATGGATAATCAGTAAATACCTTCTGAGTGTAGGATTTGCCCAGCATTATACCATCATTTTTTGTCAAAAATAAATAGCTTGGTTGGCTTTCCAAAGACCACATGTACAATAGACATCAATTAGAAACCTAGATTTTGTCTTTACTTATCAAAACGAACATGTCTTTCCCCCTTATAGAGTGCTTGTAAATAGAAATTACCATCTAATTGATTGTCGCTATATAACAAGTCAAGATATAGTATTAGTTCTTTTGCAGATAAGTTTCTATCTCTGTTTCTGACACAGTCTCAATCTACCAAGATGACCACATCCTCAACAAGAGGGTTTTACTTTACCTGAAAAGTTAGGGGGAAGAGGTTGTTTTAAGTGTAGAAAATGGCGTCAAGATAATGTAGAACTAATTGTAGTGAATGTGAGAGGAAAACTTAATAGGAATAGAGCAACACATTAAGCTAACAGAGAAAAACTAGGAATTTTAACAAGTTTCCCTTTCTTTTACAGTTGCATATGAGATATTTTTATCACTAGGACATACCAGGGCACAAAAAAAATAACAGCTGTATTTCTCTCCCATTCTAACCAGTCTTTCATGTCCATTATATGTCCACTCAACCAAACTGCAAGTGGGAAAGCGATTACATATATGTAACTAGACAGTTAAAAAACAGAAATGCAAAGGGAGAATGGTCATTGAGTAAGAGTTTTAGATTTTACTTTTCCCCTGTGGTGTTTGGGTGTTAGATAAATAATAGTTGAATATGCAGCTGACTTGCTGGGTCACCCAAGGCAAATCACTTCATCTCTTAGGGCCTATTAAATGAGGACTCACAAACAGACTGAAGTGAAACTAATACAAATTTAAATCACCGGAGCAATTAGGAAATTTGGTTTCAAGGTTGATATGCATTTCAGCTTACAGTTCTTTTAAAGTATGCACATATCCACAAAGATTTTTCAAATTCTGCCATTCAGTGGCCACTAAGGTCTCCTGTGATCCTGATCAAAAGAAGCAACACAAGCAACAGACAAAACAATCAATGATTTTAAAAAATACCCTATGAGCAGAAGTTCTAAATACTGTTCTGAGAAACTAGCAACAGGACACTAGGGCTGAGAAAGCCAGTACAGCAGAGGCAGCAATGACTGGAGGTGCTTGTTAGAAACAAATTTTGGTGCTACAAAAGAAATAGAACTCAAACATAAATTTTCTCAGCAAGGCAAATTTACTTCCATAGAAGGGTGCAACTCGCAGATAGAGCAATGGCAAGAGCACCACCAACAATGGAAAGCAAGAGGTTTTTATTTCTAACACAATGGGTTTCTACTACTGTGTCCCGTCTCCATTGGCTGGAGCTGGACCACACAATCTAAACTGGTCCTGGTTAGCTAATTTGAAGGGTGCAGAGAGGGGGTTACACTAGGGGGAAGGACAGTTTCGGTGGGAGAAACTATTCTGGCAGGAGGGGTAATTTGCAGAGGGAGTAGAATGTGGGCCCTATAGATAAGGACTGGCTGGGAAGTTGCTTGCTGTGACCAGAGCAGGGAGACAGCGATAGTAAGGAAGTCTGGCCTTGAAAGCAGGGAATAAAGAATAAGGAAACTTAAAAATGCTACACCTTTGAAGAATAACTTCTTACTGTATTTAACAGTGCTCTTAGCCCAAGGTAGCTCAAAAAAAGGTATAAAGATTATAATTTTTCCAAAAACTTTCTGGATGGGAATTACTGTCTTGATACTCAGGGTAATTTCACCTTTTAATGCAATTGTGTGATGAAGTACAAGCTTATAAACTCACAGGTCCAAATGAACAAGGCCTGAGGGAAGAGTGTGCAAAAAAAGGTTTGAAATGCAAATATATAACTCATCTTACTGGCACAACTCTTTCCTTAGAACTGAAGAATAGATGTCATTCCCAATACTATGAAGACTGTGCCAAGAACAAGGGATATATGATAAGGCCGTATCTTTAGCCTTTAATATGAATTGAGAAAAATCAAGCTGAGTATTGTTCTAACTCCTGTCAATCAGTACCAGATTTGTAAGCAGCCCAAACTACCTAACCTGCAGCACATCACTATCAGTCAGCTCAGCTTCACCCTAAGTCTCCACTAGCCAAAGCTACATAAGCAGCCATCTTATCTACTTTATCTATTATACTGAAATCTACTTTTTATAACTTCTATTACTAACTTAAGCCTACTTCCTCACTATTAAAACCACCCTGGTTCTGTTAGTCTTCTCTCTCTTTTGGGGTAAGTAGGGTGGAGAGGCATGGGGTGGGTTGGGTCATGAGCAAGCAAAAGGGAACAAACAAAACACTTCCAGTCTGTCTCCAACAAGATTAAGTGCCGAGTTACCAGGAAATGTAACAACAAATCATCATCAATTTGGGCTATAAGATTTGGCATTTATGATGATCTGAATTGAAGCCAAAAGATAATTTCTGAATAATATTAAAAACGACTTCTTGGCAGAGCTTGACTTGGTGAAGGCAGTCCAATCCTGGCATACTTTGCCAGCCTGCAATGCACAATGTCCTCTTCTGCAGTTTTTTAATAAGCTGTGCTTTTTGTTTTGGTTTAATGGTGGTTCCTCTTAACGGAGGAGGAATCTATAAAAACACAAATGTAAGGGGATGTTTCAATAACTTTACTGAGGAAGTTCTCAATTAAATGATACAGGGTTTTCCAAGCATTATCATGACTCACATTTTTGTATTTAAAAATGGGTAATACTCTTTTTGCGCTTTTAGCAAAATAGTTTGTCAAACAGGGCTGGAATCCTAACACTTGTTTTAAGCTCCAGCCTCTTTTTTGCCTCACTGGAGACTGCCATGATTTCCTTCAGAAATGTCGTTTTCAAAAGCAGAATAACACACTGTTCTCAAAAAAACATTTTAAGTTTACAAGTAAAACCAATATATATATAAACAATTATTTTTTAATAGAGATGAGGTCTCACTATGTTGCCCAGGCTGGTCTCAAACTCCTGGGCTCAAGAGATCCTCCTACCTTGGCCTCCCAAAGTGCTGGGATTACAGGTGTGAGCCACCATGTCCAGCCTAAAACCAATTTTTAAATTATAAAAATATATCATAAACAGTCAAGACTTGAAAAATAGTACAGACAGCACAGAAGTCTGAGACAAATATCCAGCTGGTGTGGGACATCTTGGGATAGATAACTGTTTCCTTCCAAGGTCAAGACAGCCACCAAATGGAGGTCAAACAAGGCTAAACATATCCTCAAAGTGACAATGCCAAACTAATCACTGGAACCTCCAGTAACTGTTCCCTTATGAAAGAGACACTGAATCTTCTCTCATGAATTCTCTAACTTTGCTGCTTGTGCCTCAGATGTTTGCTCTGAACATTTGTGGGTGCATTGTGAGACAGGAGGGAAACCTACCCAGTATTGCCAAGAAGACAGAAGATGCAGTTGCTTTCTGATTTACCCAGGCCCTCTCCTCTATCTTCTCCCTCCAGACTTCCTCACCTATTGGAAATTTCATGGCTTGTAAAAATCTTCATCAGTGTAGGCAAAGGGGAGACAAAACTGTGTGGGTTTTTTTTTTTTTTTTTGAGGGGGGTTGCTTTTTTGTATTCTTTAGTAGTCTTAACACAAACCTGGTAATATATCGAAAACACAAGTTTAGTCGTTTGCTGCTTGCAGAGTCCAATTCACAAATGTGAGGTCTGGTATAAATAAAGTGACTTTATCCCAAAGCTAGCTTAGGGAAATAAGTATAGGCTCCTGCCTTTAAGGTACTGTTTCCCTTTTGGGACAAAAAGCAAGGGTTTTTAAAGGGGGACTTGGCATGAACGGCATGCAGGGGAGGAAGCGAGCAGGTGCAGGGTCTATGTGACTGGCTTGAATACCTTATCTACTGGGTGACTGAGCTGGCCGTTGTCTCAAGATACTCAGAGTTCCCTCATGGTCCTAACTGAGGTGCCTTCTCCTGGTGGGAGAGAGTTCCAGCTCTCGAGCTTTAGAGTGAGCACATACATAAGCTTGCCATGCAGGGAGTATCTGGTAAAAGGGAAAGTAAAGGTTATGATTCCATATCTAAAGAGCTGAGTAGGAAGGGGAGAACAGGGGAAAAGGAGGAAAGAGAAAAGAAAAAAAAAGGTTTTTTAAGTAACTCATTCTCTTTCTCTCAGAAAAATGGAGTACTCCATTGTAGGAAGACTAAAATTATAATCCAAATTGAGGGGTTATTTTAAAAAAATGTTCTCTCTTCCATTTTTACTTGTGAACAGATAAGCAACCTAAAGGAAATGTCAAAAAGAAAATATGGAGTTGGTTTAGTCACTAGTAAAATGTATAGAAACACTGTGAATAAAAGAGGTAAAGGCCTGCCTACTGAAAAATATTTAAGGCACTGGGTTTAGAAGCAGTGTGGTATAGATTCATGTAGTATATATGAAGAATATGGGTGCTAGAGTCAGTAGATCTGAGTTGGAATTCCCATTTGTCACTTCCTAGCTGTAACCTCAAATTACCCCTCCTGTAAAACTAGGCTCATAATACATAGATCGTAAAGGAGAATTACATGAGAACATGTAGAAGGTGCCTAGCACAGAACCTAGTCCATGGTAGGCATTCTAGAATTACTAGTTGTTTCTCCCCTTGTCTTATTATCTGTTATATCAGGGCTAATATATCAGCTTGAGGTGCATATACAGTATCTAGATCCTTAAGGTTGTTAAAAGAATCTCCCTATCTCCACAGACTCAGTTTCCATCAGAAACTATGAATATTAAAGAGAAAAAGTGATAGACATTCAACCAGGTTTTCATGTAACTCAGTGACAAGACAAAAATGAAGATCAATGACTTCCATATCTTGAAGCAAAATACTACCAAAAACCATGAGGCTGAAATCTAAAAGGCAGTAGGAGAGTCAAGGCATCCATTCAAAATAAGAATGTATTGTATATTTATTACACCAAATACCACCATATTTATTATACTAACTCTTTTTTCTCCCTCTAGAAAACTAATGATGATACAATTGATTTTGATTATACTGTTCTACTTCATGAATTATCAACACAGGTAAAACATAAAATTGTATGTAGAATTGTTTTTACCGTAAGTTTTTGCAGATCACAATATTTTATAACTCTTATTTCCTAGGAAATAATTCCCTGTCGTATTCACTTGGTCTGGTACCCTGGCAAACCACTTAAAGTGAAGTACCACTGTCAAGAGCTACAGACACCAGAAGAAGCCTCTGGAACTGAAGAAGGATCAGCTGTAGCACCAACAGAACTTAGTAATTTCTAAAAAGAAAAAATGTTATTTTTCCAGCTTCTAAACAAGTGACTGTACTAGCATTTTCCTGGTAAAATAGCTAAGGTACAGACATTCTAATAATATGGGAAAGCCTATGATTACAAGTAAAAACTCAAAAATTCAAAGATGTTGGTTTTTTGTTTGTTTCTCAATTGGTCTGCTTTAGCTTTTAAATCTGGAAGCACATGGACCTGAACTCTGCTCCGTGCTAAAAAGTCACCCTCAGGTTCTTCAGGGTTTCAGCCCTAAAATGTAAAGCCTGGATAATTAGTGTATGCTGCAATGGGATCAGCATTTTTTTAAAAACTGCAAAAAATGATGGTTTCATCTCTGAATCTGCATCTCATTCTTTTGAACATATTATAGCTAATATATTTTATGTTGCTAAATTGCTTCTATCTAGTATGTAAACAATGATAACATACTTTCAATGAAAGTAAATTGTAGGAAGAAAATTAACTGTTTAAAAGAAACTGTATTATATTTTATGATTTCAAGCAAGTATTCCTTTTTAATTTGCTATCTACTTTTAAATACATATTTACATTTCTAAATACTGAAATGTGTTAAATGCTCTTGTGGAGATTTGTATACAAAGGAAAAACTTGTGCTAAACTGGAATTAAATGAAATGGTAATATTGCTTAACTTAAATTTTACAAATAATAGAATGTCTCACCAGATAAAGCTGTCTGCAAACATCCATCAGAAGAAATACGGATGTAACTGAAAGCACATTAAATATTTATAATTTTCATTTACAAAGACAACTTGGACCAAGTGTTGGCCTAAGTAATTTATAAAAGCAAACATAGTATGTACCACAATCAAATTCAGTGGAGTATCCTTAAGGCAGGAGGAATTGATCCAGGAAATGTTGCCATCACATGCCTCTCAAAATTAGTATCATTTAATGGAATGCTTATGTTGGTGTCTAAAAACCTTGAGCCAGGTTTGGTAGCCAGTAATTGATTAGGAAACATCAACCTTAAAATATATCAAAACATTACTTTTAGGTGTCTACCATTAGATAATCAGAAAAGTTTATACTAAAGAGAAAATTTTAAAGGGATGAACCATACAAAATAAGCTGATCTAGTTTACATATTTTTCTACTTAAAACGCTTTGCTTTGCATTTATCTTCCCCAAATCCACTTAATTTTTTTTTTTTAAATGTATAATTAAAAAAAAAAACACGGCTGATGGCTCATGCCTGTAATCTCAGCACTTTGGGAGGCTGAGGTGGGAGAATCACTTGAGCCCAGGAATTCACGGCTAGCCTGGACAACACAGGGAGACCCATCTCTTAAAAAAAGTTACTGATTTAAACACTTGTGGTTGGGCTCATTTCCAGCATTTTAGGAGGCCAAAGGCAGAAAGATCACGTAAGCCCAGGAGTTCAAGATCAGCCTGGGCAGCATAGTAAAATCCAGTCTTAATTTTTAAAAACACATATAAGAAATAAAGAGTTGTAGTATTTGGAAGCATTGCAAACAATCATTTAAAGGACACATCAGCTCTCCCATCTATGTGATAATGAAGATATACTTTTTATAAATTATCAGAATCCACAATGATTAAATTGTGCCAAAATCAAGTGATAAATTTCTATAACTGAAGTTCCCCAAATGATGTTCAAAAAAAGTCCTAAGAGCATTATAATAGTACACTCAATGTCCTGTGATATTTAATAAATATTTTAGTGTCATGTTAAGGACTAGAAAAGGGCATTTACTTGGTGTTTCAGCTTTCTAGAGTTGCAGCTTTCTCAAAGTCCTCATCCCCATAAAGGTGTTTTTCTTTTCTCCTTTTTTTTCTTTGTTTGACCTTCATAGGGTGGCTGTCTTCACATTGGAAGCAAATGATTATCTATCCCAGGATGTCCCACACCAGCTGGTTATTTGTCTCTCTATGTTGCCCAGGCTAGTCTCAAACTTCTAGGCTCAAGGGATCCTCCCACTGTGGCCTCCCAAAGTGTTGGAATTACAGATGTGAGCCACTAAAACACATTTTTCATTAGTGAGATTAGGCTCACAAATGTGACCGTAATCCAACCAGGTAATGATTCTAAAGTAACCCTTTAGCAGATTTATTACAGTATAATAGAGTATGAAGGGGAATTCTATACATACAAATAACACACAAACACAATTGCCTAATTTATAAATTTACAAAACGCCCAAAAGTTAAACCAACTAAAAATTTATCAGTATCACCATTAGAACATCTCATATATATATATATATATATATATATATATATATATATTTTTTTTTTTTTTTTTTTGACACAGAGTCTCACTCTGTTGCCCAAGCTACAGTAATGGAGTGCAGTGGCAGTGCCATCTCAGCTCAGTGCAGCTTCTGCCTCCCGGGTTCAAGCACTTCTCCTGCCTCAGCCTCCCGAGTAGTTGGGACTACGGATATGTGCCACCGCGCTCAGATCATTTTTGTATTTCTAGTAGAGACAGGGTTTCACTGTGTGGGCCTGGGTGGTCTCAACTCCTGACCTCAGGTGATCCGCCCACCTCAGCCTCCCAAAGTACTGGGATTACAGGTGTGAGCCACCACGCCCAGCCTCAGAACATCTTTTCTAGTTCAAACTCTAAAATTGTTAACTTAATATTACTAACAGTGGTTCCACTAGCTAACAACAAAAAAAATCACTTGGCATAAAATGAAAACCTAAATTCCCTAAGTCCTCTTTTCATTAAGAGTCTAAATTATTCTGCATCACTGTCAGCTAATGACAATCACAAACAGCATCACATTCATTTTCTTAATCTCTAGAACTTCCAGAATTTTAAGACATGTAAAATAATACCAGGATTTGTCTACATTCCATTTTATTTTATTCATAGTTTCATTTTCTTCCTACCTGAATTATGAATTTTTAGAAGTTAAATAAGTTCTTTTGAAAGTCAATTGGAAGCTTATATATTTGTATTTGAGTGTTAAGTCATTCATGACATATTAGTTTATTATATCAATTTCTCTCAAATTAGAAAATTCTGACCTGTTTTGTGATTTTTCCTAGTTTTCAAAGTGCTATAGTCACCTAACATGCAGCCTAGGACTTACTGGAATTGATAAATGAATGAATGCTCACAATAAATTTTCCTTGAATACAATTAACTTATTTCAATGATGCACTACAATGTTATTTGAAGATACTTTCAGCCGCAATTAGAGCTCCAGTTCAACAATTTACAGTTCTAGAGTTGCAAATAGCTATCTTGTACAAAGGGACACATTCCAACATGTCACAATTTACTCCTGTTGGGTTGGCTGTCAATTTTGAGACTTATCTAGATTTCAAAAATATTAAGATATCAAAAATCCTAAACTTTAGAGCTGACTAAATGTTAGTGATTTTACAACTACACAATCTAAGAGTGAGCTGAGGAAAGAAATAACAAAAAATAGAAACACTGACTTTTTTGTTTTTTAAGGTAAAATTATCAAGTCAGGTATGGTAATGTGTGCCTACTGTCCCAGCTACTCTAGAGGATTGCTTGAGCCCATGAGTTTGTGAGCAGCCTGAGCAACATAGCGAGCCCCCTATCTCTTTAGGTTCAGGGGTACATGTGCAGGCTTGTTACACAGGTAGCAATGCCCCACAACAATATGTTGTGGGGGTTTGCTGTACAGATTATTTCATCAATGAAGTAAAAGCCTAGTATCCATTAGTTATTTTTCCTGATCCTCTCCCTCCGACCACCCTGCACCCTCCAATAGGCCCCAGCCCCAGCATGTGTTGTTCCCCTCTATGTGTCCATATGTTCACATCATTTGGCTCCCACTTGTAAGTGAGAACAGGCAGTACTTGGCTTTCTTTTCCTATGTTAATTTGATGAGGATAATGGCTTCTAGTTCCATCTATGTCCCTGCAAAGGACTTGATCTCATTCTTTTTTATGGCTGCGTAGTATTCCACAATGTGTATGTACCACATTTCTTTATCCAGTCTATCACTGATGGGCATTTAGGTTGATTCCATTTCTCTGCTATTGTGTTAATAATTCTGCAATGAATGTGTGGATGTGTCTTTATAATAGAATGATTTACATTCCTTTGAGTATATACCCAGTAATGGTATTGCTGAGTCAGATGTTTTTTGTCTTAGAAGACCCCATCTCTTAAAAAAAAAAAAAGTTGTCAAACAAAAAATACAAATTCTAATATTACACAAAAGAATACATTAGGATACTTCTGAATTTCACAAATTTTTCACTTCATGTCTTGGGCTTAAGTACAATGCAGGCAATATTTCAGTAGTCTTTAACTTTGTCTGCATATGAGAATCACCCAAAAAACTTTTATCTCGATCCAGCCAAATAATCTAAATTCCTGGGTGTGAGCCTAGGTATTTCTTTTTAAGTCTCCTCCAGTGATTTTTAAAGTGCAGTGAGGGTTGGGAATCAGTACAATACTGCCTAGTGCTGCTACTATTCTCCAATACAAGTATGTAATATTCACATTAGCCAACAATTATCCTTCTTGATAGCAGTATAAACAACACTCGCTTATGAATATTCTCATTAATTTTTTTCCATGCTACAGACTTTGGTTAGTATGTGATCTCTATCAACTATAACTAATGAGTTAGAAAGAGATGTGGGTTCTGATCCTGATCTGTCCTTATGTGATCCCATTCTAGTTACTCTCAGCTGTGCCTGAGTCATTGCATATGAGATGCTGGTATTGGATTCAATAAACTAATGAGTCAGAAAGAGATGTGGGTTCCAGTCCTGATCTGTCCATTTGTGATCCTATTCTAATTACTCCCACCAGCTAGACCTAAGTCATTACCTATGAAATGCTGGTGTTGGATTAAATATCTATGACCTTTTCTTTCTTTCTTTTTTTTTTTTTTTTTTTTTTTTTTTTTTTTTTTTTTTTTTTTTTCTTTTTTTTTTTTTTTTTTTTTTTTTTTTTTTTGGTCAGGGGGCAGAGTCTTACTCTATAGCCCAGGCCGGAGTGCAGTGACGTAATCTTGGCTCACTGCAACCTCTGCCTCCTGGGTTCAAGTGATTCTCCTGCCTCAGCCTCTCAAGTAGCTAGGACTACAGGTGTGTGCCACCATGCCCCGCTAATGTTTTGCATTTTTAATGGAGACGGGGTTTCACTGTATTAGCCAAGATGGTCTCAATCTCCTGACCTCATGATCCGCCCACTTTGGCCTTCCAAAGTGCTGGGATTACAGGTGTGAGCCACTGTGCTCAACCGTCTAGGACCTTTTCTGACATTGTAAGATTATAACCAGGATGTTTTACAAATTAAAAATAAGTAAAACTTTTACTTACTTATCCAAGTTTATCCAGTTTAGTTCCAGTAGTTATGACTATTCTCAATAGCCAGAGGAATCATGCTAAATTCGATGAAGGTACAGAGAATGTATATCCTCATTAGGAACAATATTCAAAGTTATTGTGAATGGCACAAGATGCTGATGAAATGCCAAAGCAACCACATTTTTTCAGACCTGATGCTGTCGTTGCAAGACATTCATGGGAGACATGCACTTGGTGAATTATCATAATTAAAGTATCAATTTAAAAACTTAGGTTTTGTGGTCTCATTAAAGTTATTTACCTTATCTGTGCTTCATAAAAAAATGGACATAGTAACAGTACTTGGTTCTCAGGGTTGTGAGAATGAAATTATATAATGCATTTAATGTATTTAGCGGCCCGGCATGATGGTTCACACCCATAATCCCAGCACTTTGAGAGGCCAGGACAGGTAGAGAGCTTGAGCCCAAGAGTTTGAGACCAGCCTGGGCAACATGGCAAAACGCCATCTCTTCAAAAAATGCAAAAAATTAGCAGGCAGTGGTGGCACACGCTTGTAGTCCCAGCTACTCGGGCAGCTGAGATGGGAGAATTGCTTGAGCCCAGGAAGCAGAGGTTGCAGTGAACAGAGATGGTGCCTCTGAATTCCAGCTTGGGCAATAGAGCGAGACTCCACCACAAAAAAGAAAAATAAAAATAAAAGTATTTAGCAAATGCCTTGAAAATATGTGCTCAATACTGTTTAAAAATATTTTTTCCCTAGAAACCTTAAAGTATAAACCCACATCTGTAAGTCAAGAAAAGGAAAGGAATTTAAAATCAATTATTTTATTTCTATCATCAGGTAATAGAAAGGACTAGGATCCATCTATGCCATCAGATGATTTTTGGATGAAGCAATTCTGAACCCTGTAGGAGAACTGCTTGGGAAAGCCCAACTTATTCTGGAAACAAAAGATTAACATTTGTTCTTCTACAACCTCAGTGAATACAATATACGACAAATTCAAGTGAATTCAAATTTAGCAGCATTCATTAGGCTGATGAAACTAACTTTATAAATTACATTTGATTTAGGTGTACAGAAACATTAAGATGAACAAAAACGAGAATTGCATTTGCAAGGGTCCACTTTTACTTCACAATAGACCACAAGGAAGTAATACTTACACTGCTAAAACAGAGGCAGTTACAAATTTGCAGAAACTACAAATTAAAATAATCAGCCATATATAAAACAGAGAGAAATTTGGCTAATATTTTAATAGCCCAGTGAAGAATCTGAAAAGCACTCTCTATGAAGATCATATGGAATCTACTCTTCAACAGAAAAGCCTGCCCATTAATGGCACTCCAAGGAGTGTCATGATGTATGTGATTCACTTTCAAGTCTTCAGCAAACTAATAGTTTAAAAATACAGAGGTATGAGACTTAAAGAGACAACAGACAGTTAAAGCAAATATGACAAAACAAATTACTATATGATAACCTGTTACGAAAGGAAGGTAGATGGAAAGCATGTGGTTGTTCTTTGCACTTTTTCAGTTTTTCTCTATGTTGAAAAGTCTTCTAATACAAAACTTGGAAGGGAAATGTACATACATTCTAAGCTTAAAAGTATAACTCTTCTCCCCTTAAATAAATATTAAGCATATTTCAATGATTATTATATTTTATTTGAGGATTTTCAATAAACTATAAAACCAATCAATAGAGTTGAGATAGACATAGAATTACCTTGAATAGAACAGAAGCTCCTGGATATGAATAAGAAGGGCTTCTTTTGAAGAAAGAAGAGCCTGCTTCCCAGGCTCAAAATTTCTTGTTTCAGCAGCCTGAATTTATTCCACTGGAATCCATCAAAGTAATGAAGCCACGCAGATTCAATTAAAGTTAGTCAACTCAAAGTAAGAAAAGTTAGTTCTTGGCTTTTCCTTTTTTAGCAGGAAGTTGGCCAGTAGCCTCCAAATACTTATTAATGAGTTCTTCTTGTGTGGCTGGTAAACATGGCTGATATCTGCAGTACTCCATTGTGTATTCTCCCTTTCCCTAGGGGTTTTAAAAAAGATAGTTTGTTGTTGTTGTTGTTTTGTTTTTAAGTATAAAGCAAAGTCATGCAAGGTCAAGATTTTATAAATTTGATCATTTTGTATGGTGGTCTTTTGAAGGGCACTACAGTAAAAGTTTAAACTTGCCTACCTCGGTGCATGACCTAAGTTCAGTGGAATAACCAAACATATCATTCAGAGGGACCTGAAAACAAACACAGTAGATATTTTAGCACTGCTTATTGAAAAATATTTGAGAAAAACACAGATGCACGTTAGCCATTTAGTTCCTTTAGATTAAGATTTCTACTTACTACTCTTAGCTTAAAATAATTAAAAGCCAAAGAGAAACATTTTTGTTTTATTCCAAGTGGAAACCCTATTTGAAAATTATTTCATTTGCCAGTCGAACCAAATCTTTCCATTTCATGGAGTAAACACCATTGACAGCTCTTCCCTCCTATCCCCACTCTGCTCTGTAGCCACAGCTCAAGGACTCACAAGTGTTTCTTCTGCAAAAATGGGAATACAACTTTCCTTTGGACACCTTAAGGATATGCTGAGACTAGTGTTTTCCAGGAGGCCTTAAGAAATGTAATAAACACTTTTTCCCTTGAGATTTAAGTCAAGGAAGGTATAGGCAAGGGAATTAAAATATTCCAATAAATTAAAGATAGCAATAAAGTTATGCAAATAAAGCTAAAATGAGAGAGATAATACACATCTTATTTTTCCTTTTCTTTTTGTCAGTCTGTGCTTATCCAAGAAAGAGAGATAATATACATATAAGAAAATGACATATTCACAAAAGGTCAAGATAAAATAAATCTTATTTTTAACTTCTGCACTTAAGAGTTGCTCTAGTAGCAAATTACAGAAAATGCCACATGTATAAAGCCACAAATGCAGCAAGCAAATGTGTCCATTTAGAAAAACAAAAGCTAATTTGGATATCCTGCGGTTAACAGAAGCAAGACTGTCAATGACTAAGCGTACTTACATCTGCATACAGTGTAAAATAGTCCTCAACTCCATCTTGCCCAGTGATTACCCCATGGCGTCGGTTAATTCCTGCAATTACTTGTCCCTGAAATTCATTTGGAGCTACAACTTCCACAGACATAATAGGCTCAAGAATATATAATGTTGCATTTGCCAAGGCTGGATTTTAAAAAAAAAAAAGCTCATTAGTCTTCATAAAATGACAACTCTTCTGTCCAGATATACAAAAGGGGGCCTTCCCAAAGGTACAAACACAAATGTCAAGGTTAAAATATTTGACCTAGACTCATTTTTCCTGTAGTGGTAACATTCACTCTTCTAAATGGAAATTCCAACATTTAATATTTCCATTATCATATTTTTATCCTTAGAACTCATTAAATAGCAGAGAATAATACAAAAGGGTCTTAAAACAACATCTGATCAAGTCCTTTACCATCTAAATTATCCAGCTGAGTTATTTATTCTCTCTGAAAATCTTCAGGGGTAAGGATAATAACTGTTATGTCTTTGACCAAGGTATACCCAGGTTCAAGCGATTCTTCTGCCTCAGCCTTCGGAGTAGCTGGGATTACAGGGGTCTGCCACCACAGCCAGCTAATTTTTGTATTTTTAGTAGAGGTGGGGTTTTGCCATGTTGGTCAGGCTGGATAAAGCCATTCTTTCTTGTGGTCCCTGGCATACAGTTATTTTTAATTATAAGAAAATAACTTTTGTCACAGGGCAGTAGGGGATGTGGAGGGTACCCTTCCTATACTCAAAAGCAAGAATCAAGCCACGCCTACAATTTGTCTTTCCTTTTCTAGACTGAACAATTTCAACACCTGATAGAGAATGAGAAGACCAAGTTTCTAGTTTTTGCCCTACTTCAAAGAAGTTATAAGCCTTTTGGAAAAATACAGTTTGTCCAAGTCTCAAATTTTTTCATCTACAAAATAAGGATTCTGGACTAGATTGGGCAATTTTAACATTAAAAGTCAGTGTGTTTGTATTTATTTTTATCCCACTTAATACATAACCGACAAAACACTTTTTTTCTGTTAAAGCGCTAATGTTTAAATGTAACAATATGGAGAAAATATAGTAAAACCTCAAACATTTATACTTAATTTAGAAGATATAATAGTGACAAATACTTCAGCCTCAGGTTTGCTAAATTATTTCCGAATAAAGGCTTTCAGCAAAACACGGAAATGATGACAAGGGTAACATTTTGTTTAAATATAATCATAATTTTTCCAGAAGCATCAATTTGTTTATAATAAACTAAAACTAACAAGTGTTCTTATATATTCACTCAGCACTTCTTACTAGAAACAGTAGAGCTTAAGTGCAATCATTATTACAACAGGAATGTAATTAGAAATATTTTTAAATTTAAATCACATCTTAGCTCACATCTACTCAACTAATTAGTTCTAATGAGTTAATTTTGTTCTGAAAGACAAATAATTGAACTCATAGAGAGATACTGCAGACTCCTATGCTTGAATGGCTAAACCCTGCAGAAACCTACATGGACATCTAAATCAAACTCACAATTTTAGAGTGTAGAGACAGTTCTATTGCTTGCATAACTTCTTTACAACAGCAGAGCTTCCCTGGCTCTAAATAAATGTAATTAATATGAAGAAAAGCACCCCAAAGGAGAGATGTGAGCAGACATATCTAGATTTAGTTATACATTATCTAATGTTCTCAATAGGACAGTAATGTAAAACATCTAGATTGTGAAAGGGTTCTATTTTAAAGGGAAGGACAGAGGCAAATATACAATGTCCATTACTCAATTATTGAGGACAGCATTTTTGGTTCTGTTTCACATTCCCTCACCCTTCTGGGGTGCTCCCTTTCTTTTAACTCTCTAAATCTCTCCCTGATTTAGTTCCAAATGAATCTTACCTTTACACATGCCTTCCTCTAACCCTAGACAATAAGACTCCAAAGCTAACTCCCCTGCCATTTTTCTATAGTCACATTACATCCAAGTCCTAAAGAAATTTTTCCTCAAGCAGATCTGTGGTCAAGTCAATTGCACCTTTCAGTTTTAGGTTATATCACTGATCAATCTCATGAACAACATTTAAAATTAGGCTCAAATGAATTCCAGTGTTCATTTTTTAAATGAAGAATAGAGGAGAATTTGAACTATTGTTCTTCCAATTTTAATGAGATATAATAGTAAGATATACCATTATAATAACTATAATACCCTATAGTTATAAGCTATTATTCTAAGCTCATTTACCAACATTTTCACTGTGAAACTCTAATATGGCATTCAACAGAGATGTATGTAAAAAGTTGATTTGCTTGCTGAGTGTGGCAAGAACTTCTTTTTACCTGACTTGTACATTTTTGTCTTTTTTTATTAGGATAGAAAAAGCTTTTTTAAAGTTTTACTTGAAATCTAATGTTTCAAAAAAAGTTTTAATTTTTAATTGACAAATAATAATTGTATAGGCAGGGGGTGCTGGCTCAAGCCTGTAATCCCAACATTTTGGGAGGCCAAGGCAGGTGGGTCATTTGAGGTCAAGAGTTTGAGACCAGTTTGGCCAACATAATGAGACCCAGTCTCTATTAAAAATACAAAAATTAGCTGGGTGTGGTGGCACTCGCCTGTAATCCCAGCTACTTGCGAGGCTGAAGCAGGAGAATAGCTTGAACCGAGGAGGTGGAGGTTGCAGTGAGCCGAGATTGCACCACTGCACTCCAGCCTGGGTGACAGAGACTCCATCTCAAATAATAGTAATAAAAATAACAGTATATATTTGGGGAGTATACTGTGATGTTTTGAAGATTTTTTGTCTTTCAATCATGGAGAAATAAGAATCAGATGAAGAAACAGCAAGGTAACTTATTTCTCATGCTAGTATCCTGCTTGTTTGCATAGAATATCTTGTAAAAAAAATAAAATTACTCAGCCAGGCACAGTGGCTTATACCTATAATCCCAACATTTTGGGAAGATGAGGCAGGAGGATCACCTGAGCCCAGGAGTTTGAGACCAGCCTGGGCAACCAAGCAATACCCCATCTCTACAAAAAATAATAATAATAAAAATTAGCCAGGCATGGTGGCATGCCCCTGTACTCCCAGCTACTCAGGGAGTTGAGATGGAGGATCACTTGAGCCCAGGAGTTCGAGGTTGCAGTAAGTCAAGACTGTACCACTGCACTCCAGCCTGGGTGACAGAGCAAAACTCTGTCTCAAAAATAAAAAAGAAATCCCAGCACTTTGGAAGGCTGAGATGGGCAAATTACTTGAGGTCAGGAGTTCAAGACCAGCATGGCCAACATGGCGAAACCCTGTTTCTATTAAAAATACAAAAATTAGCTGGGTGTGGTGGTGCATGCCTATAATCCCAGCTCCTTAGGAGGCTGAGGCATGAGAATTGCTTGAACCTGGGAGGCAGGGGCTGTAGTGAGCCAAGATCATGCCTCTGCACTCCAGCCTGGGCAACAGAGCAAGGCTTTGTCTCAAAAACATAAAAATAAAAATTTAAAAACAAAAAAAAACCTTCTCAATTCAATTATAATCTAGTGTTTTTCTCCTGTACATCTAATAGGCAATTAATCATACTTAATATTTAAACTATAAATAAAAAAACTAAATGGTACATATTCAACTGTTTAGTTAATATTCATATATATTTTTTCACAGGATATATGTTTATATTAGCTCCAAATGAATCTTACCCTTACACATGCCTTCCTCTAACCCTAGACCATGAGGTTAGAGCTAACTCACCAAAGCTAACTCCAAGGCTAACTCACCTTGCCATTTTTGGATGGCACATTTCATCCAAGTCCAAAAAGAAATTTTTTTCCTCAAGCAGATCTGTGTAGATATATATTAAATATATATCTATTTATATTAAATATACATCTATATTTACTTATATTAAAATGTAGGAGCAGTTAAAAAGGATGAGGCTCCTTGTTAATTGATAACCATATCAGTTATCTGGCTTTATGTAACCTCTATTTCCAGGAAAGCTACCAATTTCAGGAAAGTACCAGGACAGAACAATCGGTACTTTCTAATTTGTTTTAACTGTACTACTAAAAAGTATATAAAGTGATTATAACTAATTTGTCAGTTCAAGACATACTAGAGTGGTAAACACACAGAGGTAAGAAGACAAGTATTTTAATGTGAGTCATGCCTAATAAAGTCTCATCTTCTTTGTCATTTTATTTACCTGTTTCCTATCAACACAATCTTCAGATTGTGACAAGATTTCTACATCACAAATTTCAACTGCACTTTTAATAGAGAGTTGATATAAAGGAAATCTCCCTTTCATAATTAAGAAACTGAAACATACATTATGAAAAACTCCAATTAGTTGAAGTAAAATAAGGAATCAGCAACCCTCCCCAACCACTGCCCCATACCTGATCACAGATGCAATGTGTGACCAAAAATACCACAAAGTTCAAAATTCATACAGAATCAGAAAAATCCTGATCTACAGAATGCTTAGGAAATATGATAAAGAAAGTTTCTACTGTCTACTTTAATCCTCTTTGATGAACATATTTCTGAAATGTTTTGTGAATCATTATTCTACTGTGTAAAGACACTTGAGGACATCACTAATGTATTTTCACATAAAAGACATGAAAAGATGACAAAGCGAATGGAATTTTCTTGCTTCAGGACACGACTTTGAAGTTCCTTTCTTGAATAACCCTGATGTGAAACTGCTATGTTGTCACTAACCTTTTTTTTCTCTCAAAAGCAAAGAATCAGATATGTTTGCAACTGCATAAGGTTCTAGTTTATCAGCATTTAAATACAAGTATTATTCTGTGAGAAATGTTGACAATTTTAGCAGTTTTGCAAGAAATCTGCATTGTGAATAAGGTTTATCAAATTCTTTCAAAATACTTTGCCATACTCAAAATGCCTAAAAACATACAATGTCATACTGAAGAGATTACTTACAAATTTACGGATTTCTTGATATTTGAATAAGTCAGTAGAAATAACAAGACTACAGGTAAGATATCTTTAAAATATTTCTTAGAATTCTGAACATTTCAGTCTTCTCTATTAAAAACAGAACTTACAAATTATCTATGAATTCAAACATGAAAAAAAAAACCAGAGAATTTAGGAGAACATGATAGCCTTTTAGTTTTGCAAGAAAGAGAACACAATAATTTACCTTGATCTCAATTCCATAAAGGTTTGCCCACTACCTACAATATTCCCTGGTGTGGTGCCTCGTTCTCTGGGTGAAGAAGACTAAAAATAGTGTTGCCATCTGAGGCTATGATGATCTATCAGGAAAACAGAAATGCTAAGGTGCCTGGACACAGCATACCTTGTTTAAGAGCACCTTCTCCTGCTCGGATGAAGGAGATTTCATTAGAGTCAACCATGTGGTGCGCTCCATCTTGCAGGACAAATCGGAGCCCAGAGAGCTTGTGACCAGAAAGAGGGCCCTTCTCGCAGGCATCCAAAAACCCCTGTTAATGAATGAACACAACTTCTGGAGTGGATTTTACTTGCAGATACATTAACGAGAATCCCAAAATACTTGTGTTCAGAAGTGTACATTTTTATGTGTGCTATATTTCACCCCTGAAAAAGAATTTTTAAAAAATGTTTAACAATTTTACTATCTTAACTTTTAAGTTCTGGGTACATGTGTAGGTTTGTTACCCAGGTAAACCTGTGTCATGGGGGTTTGTTATATAGATTATTTCATCTCTTAGGTATTAAGCCTAATACCCATCAGTTATTTTTCCTGATCCTCTCTCTCCTCTCACTCTTCACCCTCTAATAGGCCCCAGTGTGTGTTGTTTCCCTCTATGTGCCCATGTGTTCTCTTCATTTAAGCAAGAACACGTGGTATTTGGTTTTTTACTCCTGTGTTAGTTTGCTAAAGATAATGGCCTCTAGCTCCATCCATGTCCCTCCCTGCAAAGGACATGATCTTTTTTATGGATGCATAGTATTCTATGGTATGTATGCACCACATTTTCTTTATCTAGTCTATCACTGATGAGCATTTAGCTTGATTCCATTTACATTTGCTATTGTAAATAGTACAACTTTACTATTTAAGTTTTATTATTATGGCATTTAGATTAGCAATTCCTTGGAAAAGCATATTACTTAAGGGAGTAAGCTGGTTTGAAAGCAATGCTTAGAGTGCTAAGGATCACTTTCTCATAACCTCATCTTCAGGAATTACTCAACTCAACTCATTTACTCATAACCCATCATAGAGACAGCATGATTTTAATTTTACAATGAGGAAACAGTGGAAAGGCAAAACTAAGAAAGTCCCTAAAAGAAAATCCCCACCAAAATTGGTGTTTATTCACTAGCTGTGTCTTGAGCCCTGCTACATACCTCTAACTGCTTTGTCTCATTGGCGGATCACTACATTATAGCCTGGTGTTACACATTGTCAGTAAGAACTAGAATTAAAAAGTAATCATTTTTTTCAAATCCAATTCTTTTTTTAAAAAATAGCTTTGTTGAGGTATAACTGATATATAATAAACTGTACATATTTAGAGAGTACAATTTGATGAGCTTGCAATTTTTACTAATTCAGTCACTTAAATACGTGCAGAGTTCCTACCACTTGTTAGCTTTTCTTGGCAACACTATATTATGGCTGCACAGACAGCACAAAATCCTTCTTGACATTTCGGAATTACAAGTTATATACCTGAAACTAAGTTCTCCTTCATCTAAATTAATCTTGGGGACATAAGACATTTAAAAATGTGTGAATGACAAAATAATGTCTTGAAATAGAATACATTAATTGCAAAAAAATGTTCCACCACTGAAACCAAAATTATAACCTATTAATAAGATCTTTCTAAGTTAAACGGTTAAAAAAAAAACCTCACAGTCAAGCATCCTCTCACCTCAGCCTCCAGAGCAGCTGGGACTATAGGTGTGTGCCACTACCCCAGACTAATTTTATTTTTATTTTTATTTTTCTGTAGTGATGTTGTTTCAGCATGTTGCCCAGGCTGGTCTCAAACTCTTGGGCTCAAGCAATCTTCCCACCTCGGCCTCCCAAAATGTTAGGATTACAGGCATGAGCCATCGTGCCCAGCCTACAACACTGTAAACGCTTCATACGTGCAAAGCACTTCTCCAAGGAAATGTCACATAGTCTTATCTGATCCTGAATTTTGTAAAAGGTACAGGTTTAAGTATTTTCTCTCAGTTTACAAATGAAGAAACTGTTCTGAACACTGATTTACCAAAGCATATTAATCAGTAGCAGAGATAAGACAGTAGCACCCAGGTGTTGGGAATCTAAAGAATGGTCATTTGGCTACAATAGTACACATAAAAGTCTTATAAATCCCTAAGGACTACTACGAATTTTAATTGCTGATTACAATCAATGCAGTAATTTCAATTTATTAAGAAAAATATAACGATGATTCAAAAACATAATAATTTCCCATCACTGTCACAGCATGGATTTATAGCTCTTGTACTTAATGAAATAGAGATTCTAAATCAGATGGAAAACTTAACAATCAGAGAAACAGGACTGTAACTAAAATGAACTGTGATAGACAACATGATGGAAGATAAAGTATGATTGAATATCAGATAAACTGTTTTTAGAAGTAAAAATGAAAAAAGGCTTTTAAAATAAATTTACCTTCTCGACAGCAGGCACAAACTGCTTTGGAACATTTGCTCCAAATGTTTCATCTGAAAACTCCAATTTAGTGTAGTCCTCTGGGTTCAGAGGCTCCAGGACACCTATTACTTTTCCATACTGGCCTGCACCACCTGATTGTCTTTTATGTGTAAAGTCAAACCTGAAAATTATTTAGGAAGAAAAAAAAGTGGCATTATGTAATTACAAAATAAAATAACTCCTATTAATTTAAAAGAACACATTTGATTATTTTTACTTTTCCATTTGAATGTGATGGTCTTGCTGTAAAAGTTTATTGTAGAATTTATTTTAAAAAGAGCCCTCTCTTTTCTGTTCTTACTTGAGGTGAGGGTAGGATACGCTACCCAAGGTAATACACAGATGAATTTCACACACAAATAAGTACAAGTCAAGTAATTAAATAGGTCAGTCTACAGTTCTTGTTCTAATAATCTACATTCCAAAGACCTTGCCCATTTCCCTGAAATGGAGTATTCTTTCCTTAAATTTCTGTAACCAAAGATAGCTACTTGAAAATAGGACCTTTCATGGCTAACGTTAATTTATTCAGATAGTTCCTATTTAATTTTATTCCTTGGGCATTATAGACTCAGGCAATAAAAGAAAAGGAATTTCCAAGTGAAATAATTAACAATTGAAAATGATGACTGGCAAAATGGTAAAGACCAACATAAGTCAGTCATTCACAAAGACACATATATATGCAGGTCAGTGTTTACTTCAAACCACTAATGACAACATTAATATACTAAGTGTATGTATGTAAAGTGCTTATTCTATCATACTAATGTTGAAACATTATATGTAAACACAGGCTACTGTTTCACTGGAAAATCATTTTATGAGTATCTATCTACTGTTTGCAAGGCATTTCTTCCTTTAAATTGAAATCTTCCTCAAAACCACAAGATGGAAGAGGCCAGCTGCTTTCAGAATTATTAACAGATAAGAAAATGGACATTAATGAGTGTGTATTCCTGCATACAAAATTGAGAGTGGTTTGGAGGAAGCAAATATCAGTATTTGCCTATTCTAAGCTGGTAGGAGATGCCAGCTTAGAACAAGCAAATTTCCAAAACTGTGGTGTGCTGACATATTCTAAGGTATACACAAAGTTCTCTGTGAGATATTTGTCAATTATATAACATCTATACAAACGTACTCTGTGATGTTTATATGGTAATAACTAACCATGGCTATTTACATTTAAATTAAAAAATTTCCTTCACTGCATCAAGTTCTATTGGGCAGCACTGCTCTAAAGCACCAAACCATAATCAAGTAATTCCATACACTTTCAGGGACCACATCTGACTTTATAATCGAGAGTAGGCTAAACAACAGAATACTTATGTGCTAGGCTTACGTTAAGCACCTTATATGGATTGTCTTACTTGCTCTTTACCACAAACCCATGAACTAGGCATTACTTTTATCACCATTTTACCGATGAGAAACCTGAGGGACAGAGAGACTAAGTAACTTACCCAATGCAATAGAGCATTAAGTGGCAGAGTCAGGTTTGCTCTAAAATCAAGGGCCTTAAACATTCTTCTAGAAGGCTGATACGAAAAAGATAACTAACCCACAAATGCTGGGGTTAGTTTGTTCACTTCAAAAGCTTTCAGAAGGTGCTACAAGAGGACATGTTTTGCAGTAGTTTAGAAAAAGAAGAGGTAGAAGAACTAAGACTGCTTGGCAGCTACATAGAAATGCTGAAGGTGAAAGAAATGTCACTCTATGAAAGACAATTTCACTTTGGCAAAACACTGTCTGTCACATTCAAATTAATGCTGATTAGAATTGTGGGGTGGGGGGGGGGTGAGGGATGAGAAATTACCTGTTGGGTACAATGGATACTATTTGGCAGATGGTTACACTAAAAGCCCAGACTTCACCACTACCCAATATATCCATGTAACAAAACTACACTTGCACCCACTATATCTACTTTTTTAATTGAGAAAAAATTATGTCAGGGTCACACTGTCTTCAACAACTATATATATGTATGAATTGTGTTGGTTTTGTTGTTTACCTCAAATTTGTAGATTTGTTTTGACTTTAGAGTCATATCAAAGTTGCAAGCAATAGGTACTTCTACTTATTTTTATGTTCATACAGTTGCATAAAATTATAATTTACTTGATCCTAGAGCTCCATAATAATTGTCACTTTGAAGGTAATCCACACATTATTCAAATTTGAGGATAATGGACGGATGATTAATCATTCATGAAGCCTTACTAAGTAACAAAGACTTAAGGACCCAAATATAGGAATGAGATTCTCTTAAGGTGGTTTATTTAATATCTAAATAGGCAGTTAAGTTTTTTAAAATGTAATGATTACACTTTGTTTTCCTTAGCAAATCATATCTCTAATTCTGTTTTAAAGAGAGCCTAAATCGGTATATGTACTTTTAAATGCCTATTATGTCACAACCTATGTGACTAGCTTTGATATACAGAGATGGTGACTGCATTCATAAAACTTCAAAATGGTGACTTTAGGAAGGTCACATATTTTATTTCTCACTACTGGTAGTAACACAGGAGATGTTAACTAGCAATTTGTGAAACTTAAAATTTCATCATCAGCAAAAAGTTCTTTCTGAGTTATCAGAATGTACTCAGCCACTTTCCTGGACACTATCAAAGGAGGACCTATCCAAAAAAACTCACATACACAATGACAGCTTAAGAGGCTGGCTCACAGATAAATGACTCATCAAAAAGAAAAAAAAAAGAGAAAAAAGTTCTTCCAACTTCTTAGAAAAAGCCTTAAGAGAAGAACTAACCATTTCATCCTTTAGTTACTTTATAGTTGGTTGGCTAATGTAACTAGAAAAGATGAGAAATGCTGTATTGCTTACTGTTAATTTTTTTAAAAGCTACTTAGTCTAAAGAAACACTGTATTTATAAATAAAACAGTTTATGAGGAAGATAGTACACTACAAATACATTTTTTTGTTCATTTTCTTTCTTTTTTTTTTGAGACAGAGTCTCGCTCTGTCACCAGGCGCCAGGCTGAAGTGCAGTGGCGCAATCTTGGCTCACTGCAACCTCTGCCTCCCAGTTTCAAGCAATTCTCCTGCTTCAGCCTCCTGAGTGGCTGGGACTACAAGCGCGTGCCACCACACCCAGCTAATTTTTGTATTTTTAGTAGAGACGGGGTTTCGCCATGTTGGCCAGGATTGTCTCGATCTCTTGACCTTGTGATCCTCCTGCCTCAGCCTCCCAAAGGGCTGAAATTACAGGCGTGAGCCACCACCCCCGGCTTCATTTTCTTTTTCAAAGCATCACAACATACAGGCATCTTTCGGAGGTTCGGTGGGGTTCAGTAACAGACCACTGCAATGAAGCTAATTATTGCAATAAAGCAAGTCACACAAATTGTTTTCCTAGTGCTTATAAAAACTATATGTTTATATAATACTATATTAAATATGCAATTGCATTATGTCTGCAAAAAAACCCCACCATTCACACCTTAGTTAAAAAATACTTCATTGCTAAAAAATGCTAACAATCATCTGAGCTAAGTATCAGAATTAGAAGTGGAGACTGAAAGTCTAGGAGCCTACAGGCTCTTACCTTGATGCTGATGGCTATTAACTGAGCAGGGTGGGGGCTGCCGAAGGTTGAGGTAGCTGTGGCAATTTCTTTTAAAATGTTTTTTTAGAGATGGGTCTCACTTATGTTGCCCAGGGCTGGTCTCAAACTGCTGGCCTCAAGTGATCTTCCTGCCTCAGCCTCCCAGGTAGCTGGAATTAAAGGTGTGAACCACTTCACCCAGTCACATGACAATTTCTGACAATTTCTTAAGATAACAATGAAGTCTGCCACATCGATTGAATTTCCTTTTCATAAGGCTTCTCTGTAGCATGTGATGCTGTTTGATATCATTACACCCATAGCAGAACTTCTTTCAAAACTGGAGTCAATCCTCTCAAACCCTGCCACTGGTTTATCAACCAGGTTTACCCTTTGCTGTCATTTTAACAATGTTCACAGTGTCTCAACAGGAGTAGATCCCATCTCAAGAAACTACTTTCTTTGCTCATCCATAGAAGAAAGCAACTCCTCATCTGTTCAAGTTTGAACATGAAATTGTAGGACTTCAGTCACATCTTCAGGCTCTACTTCTAATTCTAGTTCTCCAAGTATTTCTAATACATTCACTGTTACTTTGTCCACTGAAGTCTTAAACCACCCACAGTCATCATGTGGGTTGAAATCAACTTCTTCCAAACTCCTGGTAATGTTGTTATTTTGACCTCCTCCCATGAATCATAAATGTTCTTAATGGCATCTAGAATGGTGAACTCATTCCAGAAGGTTTTCAATTTACTTTGCCCAGATCCATCAGAGGAATCAACCTATGGCAGCCACAGCCTTTAAAAATGTATTTCTTAAATAATAAGATTTGAAAGTCAAAATTACTCTTTGATCCAGGTGCTGCAGGATGAATGTTGTATTAGCAGGCATGGAAACAACATTAATCTCTTTGTACATCTCCATCAGAGCTCTTCTGTGACAGGTGAATTGTCAATGAGCAGTAATCTTCTGAAACAATCTTTTTTTTTTTTTTCTGAGCTATGGGTCTCAACACTGGGTTTTAAATATTCCATAAGCCATGCTGTATGTAAACAGATGTGCTGTCATCCAGGCTTTCTTATTCCATTTACAGAACACAGACAGAGTAGATTCAACATAATTATTATGGGCCGTAGGATTTTGACAATGGGAAAGGAGCACTGTCTTCAAACTTAGTCACCAGTTGCATTAGCTCCTAACAAGAGAATCACAGCCTGTCCTTTGAAGATTTGAAGCCAGGCAGTGATTTATCTCCAGCTATGAAAGTCATAGATGGCCTCTTCTTCCAACAGAAGGATGTCTCAACTACACTGAAAATCTCATTTGGCCAGGTGCACTGTCTCACACCTGTAATCCCAGCACTTTGGGAGGCCAACGCAGGTGGATCACGAGGTCAGAAGTTTGAGATCAGCCTGATCAACATAGTAAAACCCTCTCTCTTCTAAAAATACAAAGATTAGCCAGGCATGGTGGTGGGTGCCTGTAATCCCAGTTACTCGGGAGGCTGAGGCAGGAAAATTGCTTGAACCCAGGAGGT